TTGGAAAAGGGCGCGCGGGGCAGGGCCTGGCCCCGCCCTCTGTTAAGGGCGGGATGAAAGGCGCGCGGGCGGCCGTTACTCCCCCCCGCCCCAGCAAAGAGCAGCACGGCTTGCGTTTAACGGCAGAAGAGCGTTTAATGTTCGTACAGGAGAGTTACGGAGTGACATTTACAGTACAGGGGCGTTACTGTACATCGTTATGAGCTAGCCACTTCATTAGAGTATTTGGTTCTTACAGATACACAGACCAAGGGAGGCGAGGGCAGTGCCCGCCCTGGCGCCCATCACCAATGGTGCCGCCTCGTCACAGTGTCCGAGCAAAGAGCACGGCCTTGTGCACACACCAGGAAAAAGGGAACGTTGGGCCCAGGGGAGGCCGGCAAAGAGCAGTCCCTTTAAGGCAAGATCTGAGATTTCTACACAACCTTAAAAATCAAGAGAAAAAGACTTCTTATCAAAGATCACACATGCTTCCAGAGATAGCTACCTGTAGCTCAAAAAGGCAGTAAGAAAAAATTCAGTGCAAAGTTCTAGGTTAGGTTTAACAAAGAAAAGGAGTGAGTCTTGGAGCAAGCAGTTACTCTCAAATATCAAAACCAAGGCTGGAGAGACAAGTGTATTTCTGGCTGCACGTCAGATGGTGCATAAAACAGTTGAACTAAGCAAAGTATAAAAAGGTGGTAAGCTACATTTTCAAACAAGTTCACATAATGGCAACTCCCGGCTCAGATACCCATCTACCATATCCCTCTTTCCCATCATTTTTTTTTTGTTTTGGACGTAATACATTAAAAGCTTATTGCAATGCAATCAGTTCTTGATTGAGCGCAGTGCAAAGAGGTGCAAGCCTGGTGCTCTCCCACCCCTTTCAAGGGGGACCAAGGCCCGATCCCATACACAAAATTAAAACCATGACGACAAAAAGCTTTAGACAATGAATATTTTTGCAAAAAGAAGGAGAAGGCACAAAATGAGTTGAGAAGATCATTAAATCAGAAGTCAGGACAAGTGCTAACAATAATACAGTACTATACATTTTCTTATCAGAGTCCAGACAACTATTATAACTGCAAATCATTTTTTAAAATGATTTTAGCTTTTTCTTTTTATTTTGTGCTGTAAGACATTGTGCTTTAATAGCAAACTGCAAAAAGGCAGTACATATTGCTTTAATTTTATTTCACAATGGAACGTTTCACAAAAACAGTAGTCTACTTTCCTGTGTTTTAAGTGACTTGCAATTCTGATGATGGAATGGAGTAAGTCTCAAAAGCATCAAGTGAGCAGGAAATATATCTAGTTAGTTGTATTGTATATTATTTACATGCTATATACTAAATGAAAAATATGCAGAAGATAGCTCACAGAACTGGGATTTTGGATTTTATTAGTGCCCATTAGTAGCAACCCAGTTTCTAACGTATGAGATATTTTTAGCATTTTAATTATACCTTTACCTAAGAAATTAGACCATGAATATTTTAGGCATCAAGAGATTCAAGTTTACTTTTCTGTACTGAAGAGAGACTGGTAAGGTAGCAGGGGAAGGAAACTGGATTATGAGAAAAAAAATGTGTTGGGCAAAAAGACCTGCCTGTACTGCTGCATTGTTCATCATGCCCTGTTTTAAATTGCATTCCAGTGACAGTGCCAATAGTCTGTCACCATTTCTCAAACCATTCTTCATATCTAGTGCTAAACAAAAATGTGCAATTTAACTCTAACTTTGTCTAGAGAGATTATGCCCATATTAAAAAAATGACTAAGGTGAATAGTAAGGCTATCCTGTAGTGCAGAAACACCCACTTAAGTAACCAGTAGTCTTAATGGAAAAGAGTAGGTAACATTTGCACTCTGTTGTCGCAATACATTTCAAATAAAATGCTGCTTGAGTGAGGAACAGTGTTACCGTGATCTGCAGAAAAAGAAGTGATCAAGTTCCTCTCCCAAGGCTCTGTTAATACAATTCACCTGCAGTTTAGACAGCAGTTACATTCTTTCTTTCTTTCTTTTTTTTTTTTTTAAACTGGAGGCCTTCACTGACCTGGAAGGTGCACATAAGCAGTTTAGGTGCAACACCACTTTGAATTTTATGTTTGAATGAGTTACGTATTTACTCGTTGCATTATTTAAGTTCTAAAATTTTAAAAACACGGTTTCAAAAGAATTGGAAAAAATGCAGCACACATTCAGCCAGTCTTCATTCACTTTTGTAGAACAGATCATGGGTAGAAGATGGGGCAGAAGGAATTCTTACACATTACACTAATTATGAAGATCAGTTTAAGTGATGTTATTTAGAAATAACACATTTCTCTGGAAAAGATTTCCAGTAGGACCTGCAAGTTACTGAATGTGAAAACACTTCCCCTTTTTAAGGGGGTAAGAGTTAACATATACATATTTAAATACTAGAAATGAGGTACAAGAGAAGCATTTGAGTTATAAGGCACCATTATTTACAACTTCCATTATTGGCACTCGCTCCAGTAACTCCTAGAGAAGCACAAATCTGGGATCAGATGCAATGCCATGGAATTTTTCCAGCCCTTCAAAATTCATTTCCACAATGAATTACCCAATGGGTAATATTTTACCCATTGATGCTTCTGTGATGCCTAGTTAATAGTGGGAATGCAATCCCGAAAAATACACATTTTCTTTGATTTTCTCCAGCATCATGCCATGTATGACATAACACAGGGGACAAAAAAATTATAAACCCCAAATCCACTACATCCACAGGCCTAAGTTTTTGATTAATTTGTGGTGGTTTAACCAACAAGCATGGTTAGACTGTTAATTTGACTCTTTCATAGATGGTTTAGAAGCCCTTCCTTTACCCGCAACTACTAAGAAACATTTACATTAATGCTTTCATAACACTGCATGAGCGTAAGCCAGCAATGATTTTCTAGAAATCCTCAAAATTAGGCTACATGAAGGTTGGTCCAACATACCTGTTGAAATGCAGTCTCTCTTATTTTACAACGTACAAGTTACTTTCAAGTAAGAAGATGCAAAAAGCACAGGTGAATACAATTGGTCTGTTCTTACTAAGTTGTAGCAATGAGCTCACAGATAGGGTACAGCAGTTAGTCTATACCAATTAACAGTCTCCTTGCTTAAGTTGAAGTCCTTTAGCGAGAGTGTAATTCCACCCAAGAAAAAGTTCTCACGTAATGACTCTGCGCTGAGCACACTTAACTGAAGTTCTCTCTGTTTCAGTGTCTCCATGCTGTATCCACTGTACACAAGCTGGAAGGTAAAAAGTTAAGATGTTATTCAAGTGAGTTGCACAGAGTGCCCCTTCTGACTGCCCTTCTGACAAATTTAAGCACTGCTTATTAGCTAGATGCCAAATGTTTTAAAAGGACAGTTTTTAGTTGGGAAGTACTGTTTACATGGCAAGACTTCAATTTATTCTTCTCCCCATTAATTCAGAGCAACTGGGATATACAGTAATCTACACTGGCCAATCTATGAGTGGAGGGAAGGAGGTGGGTAGACTGGGGAAGAAAACAAAAAATTACTCTTAATATAAGATTATTCAGACTATAGGGAGTTGTTACATATTCAATTTTAACTTGCCATTTCATTGAAAGTTGGGTTTCTTGTCTTTCGAGAGATTTTGGTTTTGCGTTTAGATGTTTTGTGTGTATCTGGAAGTAAGTATGTTTTTACATAGGGATTTGGATCAGCACCATCTTCTGTAACCTACAACAAAAAAAAAGACAAATTAGAAAACTAATTAGTGCATATCCATTTGAAATCTTTTTCAAATTCTTACTTATTACCACAGAACTAAACAAAATCAGCAGTTGGAAAAAATAAATTGAGAAGGAGAGATATTTTCATCATTATTGCATCAATCTAAGCAAAGGTCACTGACAAAACAGAAGAGCTTTTGGCACCAAGCTCTGTATCTCAACTCACCAGATCTTTGATGTGCATTACCATGATAAATAGAGTGCTGTTTCTATATGATATGGATAGCTTCACTTCTCCTCCCACTTTGCCTGAGGTAGGACTTGATGGACTTGCATCTGAAAATAAATTAATAATAAAAAAGCAAGCCCACAATTATTTCCCCACAGTATTTGTATTCTACAAGTTTTCATCAGTTGCTAATTACATAGGGGGAAAAAAGGCAAGGTTTAAAATAATTGGTTTCTGATTTTCTTCTAATTCATCCTCCCCTTTAGAAAAAAAGGCATTCTAAGAACCAACTATAAGGTTTGAAGGAAAAGTCTTGATTTTTCAAGCTATAAGGAAACTTAAGTGATCACAAATAGTGTCCTAGAGGGAAGAGGTAGAGGGGTCCTCCAAGAAAGCTGGTTGCTGTTCCACGGTCACCTCCTCCAAGCTCAAGAACAGTCCCTCACACTGTTCAGAAAGTTGAGCAGAGGTGGCAGGAGACCTGCATGGATTACAAGCAGCTCATGGCAAATCTCAGACATAAAAAAGAAGTATACAAAGATGGAAGCAGTGACAAGTAAAACACCAAGAACATAGGGATGCTGTCCAAGTATGCAGGGGATGAGCTTAGGAAGACCACAACCCATCTGAAGTTCCATCTGGCAATGTTCTTATCTCCTTGAAGTTGTATGCAAATATTTAGGGGGAAAATACAGGTGCAAAGTTTTCAATGAGGAAAGGACACAGTGAGTTAAAGACTCTGTATTTTTTGTTTATTGTTTAAATCTCATTGCAAAGAGCTTATACAGCAGTCATGCTTTTATAGACATCACCCCCGAAAAGTGTTACCTACCTGCAGGTCTGGCTATTCCATCTATTCCTTCCACTTTGTCATCACGAAGTAAAGGATGGAAAAAGGTATAAACAAGATCACACTAAATTTGGAAGAAAGATTACATGTTAGTTTGAGTGTTAACAAGCACCAAAATTTGAAAGCTTCCATTGGATTTGCTTATTTGAACTCACTTCTGCCACCTCTGCAGAACTGTTCATCAGACTCTGTATATAGCTGTTGAGCTCCACTTTCCTTTTAGCCGCTACATCTTTTATATGGGTTCTTCCCAGAACCATCTTATTAGGAAAGCTACAAGAAAAGAACAATATTTACTTTTCAAGTAATTTCTCAGAAGTACATTTAATTTTCATTGAAAATTCTATCCAGAAGTGCTGACATCCATTTCTGTGGTCAATTAAAAGTGGTGCTTCAGTCCATTAACATGCCATGTCCTTATAGAAAAGTGAAGAAACATTTATAGAAAGTTGTAGTAAATGATACCATTCTCCAAAACTAAACACACCGAGTTCCTTCTCTGGTGCTTCTCCTCAAAAAAATGCATTTTCTCCTTCATATCTTAACTGCTAAATTTCAGGACTAGTCTGGCCTTCAGCACTTCTGTCTCCCCCTTCTATTACAGGGCTCCTTTCTCCACCCAGATGGGATCACTGCTGCTGCTTTCATTAAAATATTTATGACCAAGTTAAGAACATACCCCGGTAACTTCCAGAGAGGAAAGAGAATACCAAGTTTGTTGTGGAGCTCCTGGAACTCATCAAATGTCCGGAAGACAAATGCCGGTTCAACTTGTCCTTCTCTCAGAACTCTCACTACATAGATCTGCCCAAAACACAGAAAAGATGCATGTAATAACAATATTATAGGAAATAAATTAATTCAACATTTTTTGAAAGTTAACTCTTTTTACTACTGTGATCCTTCTCTTGTATACATTTCACAATAACAATATTTGCATTTTTTGCATTACAAACAACCTTACTCTAGTATAAAGTAGCCATGATCTTCCTATAATGTAGATCCACATCTGGCAACAGGATAGTTAAAGCTAAATTGTCAGTATTCTCCCTTTGAAGCTTGAGTGATAATCTAACATGTAGACACGGATGTGCTGCATTATATGAAAACTACTTTGAGAAAAGACTGGCAATGCATTTTCCATTATGCAGTCATCCACATTACTAAGAAAGGGAAAACAAGCTTGAGAGACTACACATAAAATTATGTTCAGTGGACTTATATGGATATATGAATTAAATGTGTACTTATAAAGAAGTGTGCAACTAGGAAGAGGCACGAGACCTAGACAATAGCATTCGGAAAACTTCAGCTCACCCTAAAGCTGAAATCAGTGTTTAATATCTATGGCTGTATTTTTTAAACCTCTGACAATAAAGGGAACCTAGATACATTCCTCACTTAATTTAGGCACTTAATTTAAGGCTAAGCAAAGTGAGTCCCTAGTCTGGACTAATTCTCTCATAGCAAGGAAAGGAACATGTCTTCTTGGAAGAAAATGCACGCTGTTTTTGCTGAATGGAAACAGACAGCACATACTCACATAATGTTTTTCTGGATTATATCTCTTCTGATAGGTAAACACAGATACTTGTTTGATTCGTCCATCTTGTTTGAGAGAGTATGTTTTAGCAGAAAATGAGAGGATGGGCTCATCATTAGAAGGCAGACCTGAGAAACGCAGCTGAGCCAAGTTGTGAATGAAGAAATTAAACTTTGTGGCAACACTCCCCAGACTGGATTCAATCAACCTACAAAAGGAGTAAGCAAAAGGAATCATTTTGAGTACTAGAGCACATGTCAGTACATATAACTATTCTATCAGTGAATCTTCTTTTAGGTCTATAAGAAAAATAAAATCAAGTCCTTAGCAATGGAGAAACGCTGACTAAATCAAATTGATCAACAGGCTACAGAAGTAGTATCATACCATCATTTAATAAGAGATTGAGTACCAGACATGTAGAATGAGTTTTTGCCTAAGTGACAGCTTTCTAAAACTAGTAAAAAAGTGTACGGATACTTGTGTAGTTTCACTCATATTTATCATAGAAGTAAAACAGCACATTTTGCAACATATGGCAACGACCCAGTTTGACTATATACATGCACTAACTCGAACTATTTGAATGTCTCCCCTTCCCTTCCAATATGGAAACTGCAGCATGCAAAACTCTTGTGGAAGAAAACTTCTTTACATTGCATACATTACAGAGATCCCATCCTATACACCACTACTATGAAACTTAAGATGTTTTCAAAATGCAAGCAGCAGAACAGGATAATCTATTTTCAGAATTTCAAAAAAAATGTGCATGAGACAGCTCTTAAAGGCAGGTATATATTTTAGCATAAACATTATTCTTATTTAAAACTGATGTTACTTAGTTCACTATATAATCATAAAATATTCCAACGAAACTGTTTAGCCTCTACAGATGTGTTTGTGAACACCTCTAGTATCCCTAGTATTTTATGGCAGCAAAGAACTCCCAATAGAAGGATGACGCAGTTGGATATTTTAGTGCTCTTCCACTTATCTAGTACCTTGTAAAGAAAATAGTAGCTTCTGCATCTGTTGTTTGGGGCTGGAGAGCATCCTGGACATACTTTAAGTCCTGAACTCCACTTAGTTCTGGTAACCCTGAAGAAAGCATCTATAGGAAACAGAAATTATAACTTAAATGGTACCGGTATCATTTTACTTGAAAATAGTTAAAATACTTTAGTCAAATTGCTGAACAATTACAATGATAATCAACGGCAGTTACTATCATCACCATTTCTGTTGAGTTAGTTAAAAGCAGAAAAAAAATGCTTTTGCACTGTAAATTGTGATACCTTCTAAGTTATCTTTTTAGTAACAACTAGGTAGCAGGTAGAATTTTTAAAAGATTGAAATACAATTTTCCTCCAAAGTTCATTTACTATTTTCGGCTACTAATAGCATGCATCAAAAGATTCTGCACCATGAAAAGCATACCATTTAATTCAAGCCTGTATCATAGATTTATCAACTTTTAATCAAATTTAATAAAATAATTACCAGTGAAAGTAGGTTAAGGAAGAGGTTTGCATGTTTTCTTATTAAGTTGTAAGCTTGACAGCAGAGATCCACAAACAACTGAAAGCGAATGGTGGGTTTTTCACCACCATTAATGACATAAGCCATATCTGAGGTTAGCACAAAAGGAGCCCGATCCCTGTTTAAAAACAGAGAATTTGTATATTAATGATATTGTCCATCCACTTCCTGTCATTCAGACTACCTAAAGCACCCAAAACATTTGCTTTTGCATGATACTAGACCTGCAGGTTATCTAGAATGTCACTTGGAGGCCAAGTTACCCCAGAATGCCTTAAATGATACCAGACATCGATGTTTAGGTAAATAAATACCGTCTCTCATCTCCAAGAACAACAGAACACTAAAACGTATATAATGAATGCACTAAATATGCATATACTTGTAACAAACATAACGAGTACCTGGCTAAAATGCAGTTTTTCTATCCTGGATATAGATCATGCTCTTCTACTCAGAGTGGGGAAGGAATACAGACTTGTTGCTTATTCACTTCTATAATGTTGCCATTCACTATTGTTTTATGATCCATTTTCCATTTATTTATAAATCACGCAGATGATGCAACATTTCTGGCACTCAGTTTCTCATTCACTGATAAAGTTTACATAACTAGCATCAAATGCATCATTACATGAACTTAACTACAGAAAATACCTTTTAAAGCTACCAAACATTTGTGCATGACCCAAAAATTTTCCAAAGTCAATGTGAAACATATGCCCTGTGTTTCGCAGCATTATGTTGTCATTGTGGCGGTCACAAATTCCCAACACGTAAGTAGCTACGCAGCATCCTGCACAAGAATAAATGAAGTTTTCGGAAGCCTGGCGGGGAAAAGAAAAAGGAGTGAATTGAGACTACACATCACAGGAAAACACTCGTGCATTCACAGTTCAGTTCTGGCAATAGTACAACTCATTTCAGTCAAGACATCTTCTAAAAATTGTCATTTTGCAGATGATGGTGTTTGTAAAACTTTGCTTTTCTTTTAAAGGTGAAAGAGAAGACAGGAGATGAAGACAAATCATAAAAGACAGAAGAAATAAGCCAGCAGAGAAGAATATCACAAGGTATTTTCTCCAGTGTGTTCTATCCAAAAGAAAGTATTTTATTTCTAGCATTGGAATGCTAGCATGAAAGTGAGCTATTGTTCCTAAACCATAAGAAGGAGCCAAAGCCATTCCTCCCCTGTTAAATCCAAAGCAATTTCTCTATCCAATAAAAGCTTCAGAAATTAAACTTGAAAATTCATCTAACAGACTACCTGGTAGTTGTACAAAGATTTTTGATTTACTCTTTCTGAAATGTTGGAAAAGAAAATTCACATTTTCCAAAGATTTAAGAACTTAAGTGTGAATATCACTCTTTTCATAAAGTAATATTTATCCATTTTAAGGGCTCTTCAACAAGAACTAAAAAAGAGTTACCTTTTCATACTCCTCCTCTGTAGGATTATACTTTCGCAACCACTCTGCCAGAGGTTTGTCTTTAAAAGAACCTGTCACTCCATATTCCACTTGAATTTTCCTAAGGGTATCTGAAGCAGGAACAAGCTCCACCATGCCTTTATGAAAAATATAACAAAGTGTATTTACCATCTTTTTCATTTCAAATGTTATTGACACTGTATTTTCACTACACGATTAAAATTTTCTTGACAATAATAGACTCTATAACTTAGATTTGACTTCTTTCAAAACTCAAGTGAAAACAGCTCTAATAGTTGTCTTGGCATTTCGGACTGTATTACCAAATGGGATGTTAAACACACAACAGAAACAAATCAAGCTTACATTGCTGCAGTCAGCGGCAGTTGCTAGAATGTTTATATAAAAGCCTACTTGGACTCAATAGTGATAAAATATTCTGGTATCTATATTCTTCATGCATGAAACTAATTTCAGTAGCTAATCTAGTAGCTTTAACTGTTGTGAGGTAACAAAGATGTGACTATGGCCCCAAAACTAAGGCAGAGCAGGCTTCTCATGTAGCATCATGTAGCAGAGGCCTACCAGAAGTATTTGTATATATAAATTAAAAAAAGAAAATAATTTTATTGACAAAATTTTACTTCCATCTTGTAAGCGTTATTACAGGCAGACCTACAATTAACTTTTTTCTATTTTTCCTCTTTAATCCTTCAAATATTTTAGGAATACCTGCAGTAATAGGTGCAACTTAAATATGTGTGAAAAATGGCAAACAATGTTTTCATAATGCTGTTCTGGGGTCTATAGAAAGAAATACTGAAGTTTTTGAACACATTTTATAAGAAGGAGTTCTAAAATCATTTCAGATACAAAACAGTTATATTTATGGAAAATGACTTTAATTCTTGGTAGTATTAAGAATTTAAAGCTGATATTTACATCATCTCAATTCCATTTTCATTTCTGTGTTTTGTGTTTCCTGTTGCCTAACTCTAGACACTCAATTTAGCCCCTAATGTTCTCTGATTTGAAGTTTCAAGCCTAAAGAACTGCCTCATATATTACTGAGGATCTTTTGGAAGTAGTAATTTCTAACTTTTTTTTTTCTGCATGTTTCAGCAGATATATCTTTCTTTCTAATTCAAATGTAGCAGATTTAAAGCACTTTAAAAATCCAGTTTTGACTTGAATACTTCCAAAAAGTTATTTGTCATAAAAGGATCAGGACTGCACAACTATTTTCTTGTGTTGCAGTAAGGACACCAGTAGGGAAATCTGGCTTTTATAATTATACAAAGAACCACTGTTCTTTGACAGCGGACTTTATAAGTATCTCAGAATTCAAGCACAGAAATGCACATATAGATGGAATTCGGTTCTTGGGAATTTGGGATAATTCTATTTTACTATGCTTTTGAGAAACAAAATTCCTTGTATGCAAGATATTTGGCCTTCCTTTGTCTCCTGGGTCTGCCTAAGCAGAAATCAGCAGGGTTTTACTATGAAGAGTAACAAGATGCAAGGAAATTGAGATGGAGAGCACCCAACATAACAGGTAGCATCTGGTTTTGCACCTCGATCTTTTCCAGTTGAGAGACACTTGAATATAACCATCCGTAGATCCAGCCCCTCCTGCAGCCAGATCTTATCCATAATCTTAATCATCTGCAAAGCCAGCATATCCTGTCGTAGATCTTCTCCAACCTCAAAAGAAAAAAAAAAAGAAAAAGGCAGAGATGTCATATAACTTCAACAAAACCAAAGTTGGCAGATTTTTATTGCCTTTTTTCTACTAAGTGTTACATTATACTACAAATTTCCTCACAGCTACGCACCCAAAGGGGTAAGCGATAGAGTGCAATTAAGGTTTCACATGCAGTTCACTTATTTTTCAGATTTTGCAATGTGTTCACAAATTGGTTAACTTCTGAAATTTTACTATTTAAAGTAATCTTAAGCAAACAATGTCCCCTCCTTTTTTGTTGTTGTTATTCTGTGTTGTGTTTTTAATTCTTATGTCTTCACTCTAAGAAGAGTTAAGAGAATGGCTATCCGAGGGGAAACTGTACTTGTCCTTAACAGAGACTATTAATTCCTAGTACCAACAATCATCCTATGCAACTTTGAAAAGATCACACAGTTAAACACTTACATATATATCATCTAGAAAAATACATTATTTCCTGCATAATAAGGAAATCATAGGGGTACATTCAAGATTCCCAAGTCTTTGTTTACATGGATCCGAGTCAGTGCTATACTGAAAGATCCCCCTCTATTTCAAAAAGAAGCAAATATTTTCAATGAAAATTAGCTCTTTTCAGACATTTATTCCTTTTATAATTGTTTATCTGTTAGGACAGTTTCTAGATACAGAGAGGAAAACTTAGAAAATAAATCTCTTGGTCTGCACTGAAGTTGAACACTGTTTCATTCATATCATCTATCATTCAATGAATTTTCTCCAATAAACACAAGAAGCCTACCTTAAACATCACATTAATTTCTTCTCCCAGAGGGTCTGCATTTACCAGTGCAACTTTCAGTGGTACTGCATTAGAGCTGAAGAAGGAACATGCCTAAAAGTAGAATTCATGTTAATTCTTTTTTTAAAAAAACAAGAACAAAACACTATTTCTATTGGCACATAAGGCAAGACAATCACTGTGCATACTCAGGGTTCTTGAACTTGTAATTGTGGTGAACACATGCTTTGAGTAAGAGCCTGTTGGCTGATATTCATTAAGTCTTGTACAAAATACAGTACTACAACATGGTGATTTTTGAAATAGACAGTAAGTAAAAAAGAGATAAATATTTTATCAGCAACTATTTAAGATCTAAGAGACTATGTGGAAAAAAAAAGGAGGTTTGTGCTTTTCACTGTTTTCTTATTTATCTGCTTTGAAGTATGCACGCGTGATTTAATATTTGTTGTAAAGAAGGAAAGCAAAAGAAACCACATCCCTTGACAGCGATGAATCCAGTGCTCAAAGTTTTAAGTTCTTAATCATGCACGGTGATATTATCAAGCCTGTAGATGAACAAATACTGCCAAAATTTGAAGAATTATGGGAAGAATGATTTACCTATTTCTCATACAGTATTACCTGCTGTACATAACAAAATAAAGCTACTGTTTGCAATAACAACTCCACTGATTTTTCCATACCTTAATATTTAGCTCTTTTGCCACAAGGCTAGGATTGAGAGGCAAACGGCATTTGTTCTTCAAGAAAAAGGACTGCACACATTCCATACCATTTTGCAATACAGCCTGCAGACAAATAAATAATTTTTAAAAAGCCATTTGTTATTTTCCTAACTGAAGTTTATCTATGGAAAACTTTTGGACAAAGTTATCGTGAAGCATAATAAAACTGATACCTAACTCCTCAATATCAAAGGAATGCCAAAAAGATTTACACTTTTACTGTGGTGTCAGCTACCGAAAACACATAAACCCAGAAATACGGCACTAATATCACAAAAGGTGCTTGTCATTGTGTTAAAAATACATTAATTACAGTTTCAAAGATCTTCCCACATTCCATAGAGCACTCTAAAGATTTGATTTATTGGATTGCTTTGAGAGTTTACTCAGTGTAATCTTCTTAAAATATATTAAAAACTTAATGAACATACCTGTCTAGCAGATCCACTTGTCTGCTTTACTTTTTCTGCTACCATTCCAAAAAGCTGTACCAGTCTGGTTTGCTTCTCCAGCTCTTCCCTCAAGCCTTTTCCACAGACTGAAAGAAAAGCTCCAAGAATGTGCTCATACCTTACACCAAACTTTGCATCATGTAGTGTATCCTTAAGAAGCCTGAAATAAAGGATGTTAAGTTACTCTTCCCTAAACAAAATATTGCAAATAATGTAATAAGATGACTAAAACACTTAACCTTTACTACAAACATCTCAAGTTACTGATTTACAGGATGTAAGGATTTAAGTTTTCGTTTTGTAAATGCATCACCTGCTTCTGCTTCTTCATGAAAAATAGCATTTATGTTTTGCTTACTATCAATTCTATGCAACATTCACTGTTATAAACTATGACATGAAGATAGAATATTTATTCTGGAAACATTAATCTGATGGTAAGTAAGTTATAAAAATAAGAATAACTGAACAGAACATCATACCAATACAGGTAGTGAGCTATTCGAATGCTTCCCAAAGCCCGAGACAAGATGAATCTGACAAGAGCACTGTCCAGGTATGTTTCATACTTCATTGCCTAAACATAAAGAAAATGCACTCAATTTAGTTCTAGAAAAAGACTAAGATTTTTGACTAGTGCATTAACAGAAGCATCACAAATGCAGGACACAGACTGCTTTTTTTCTTTCATACGTAAGTTATTAGATAGATGTGCTACTACATTTCTGTTACCTATAATCAGCAATTCCTTTGTTTTCAGGAGCAAGAATTAGAAGCTTTAGTGTGAGCATGAAGTCTTACTTGCACAAATTGAGGAAGGAAGTCTGTTAATTCATCATCACTTAATGCCTCTATCCAATTCACAGCTGTAGTTCGCACTTCTTGATCAGCAAACCTAGAAAGTCACCACAAACACACACCAAGTTTATATCATTTGAACAGCACTTCCACTCTTTCTCTTTTTTTTCTTCCCCCAAAATTAGTTAAGATCACAAAAAAAAAAAAAAATCTGTCACAGTTCAGCCCTTCAAAGACATTACCTAACATGCAAACACACTTGCGCTCATTTATGACAAGCGTACTAATCTTGCAAGACTTGAGTCTTGATCTCTTGACTATGTAACTTACCCTCTTGCTCTATGCTAGAATTCAGAATTCTAACCTCACACAGTACTATCACTCTCACCACATAGCTCAGTTAAGCTAATGTGCCAAGAGTTGGTACATGTCCTTTGAACACTGCTATCCATGCAGTCATCCACTGAACAAAAACCATTTAACACACAGCACGCAAATAGAACTGAACTATTTGTCTTTCTTACTTTGAATCAAGTAGTTCCAGTGCAGCTAAGGGTGATAAAGGAGGCCACTGCTGCAGTAACGAGTATATTTCAGGAAGACTTGCCCAGTCCCAATGAGGGGCACTAGCCAGTATTTTTGGTAGGCAACTAGTATGACTATGACAATAATGTCGCTTCTCCCACAAAAATTGTTTATCTTCTTTTGATAGCCTGCAGACAAAAGCATTTTGGTTTACAAAACAAGCTGCATAGCATCATATGAAAAATCCCCAATCATGACACACATACAAATAATTTCATGCACAAGTAAAATGAAACTTAAAGCTGCTTTTTTCTCCATGAAAGAGCAGAACTTGGATAAAGTTCAAGAGAAACAGATGTTCAAAGTTATACTAAAACCTATTCCTATCTATCCCACATTATAATCTCAAATAAACCAAAATGTTACTGTTTGTTTGATGACAACACTTGGTAATGCCTGCCCGAAATGTTTCTGAGACACACATTTGCCTGCCTGCATTTGAAGGAACGCCAGGCAGGAAGAGGCAGCTGTAACCAGGGACTAACAGGGTAGCAATCCTATAACTGGAGAACACTAGGATAGAGACCACAGAAAGCACAAATGAACTTCTTAAGTCAGCACCATTATTTTACATGTTTTATTCAGTCTTTTGTTTACACCTCCACAGAACTTCAAATATACTAAAAAATAAAATATACTAAAAGTGTATTACAAAAGTAGTACATATCCTATCCACAAGTTCCATATCCTATCACAAACCATCACACACAAGGAGATGAACATACCCAATGCTGTTATCTTTAGAAAGAATGGTAAGCAGACGTTCCTTCAATGGGTTTTCCAATGTTTCTATGGAATGACACACAGTAGTCTTTACAGATTGAGGAATTTGATATACAATATCAAAAGCAAGGGATGGAAAGTCAACCTGAAGAGGGAAAGAAAAAAAAAAGAAAAAATAAAAGCTGGAAAAACAACTAAGTTTCTAAGACAAGCACAAAAAGTTCACCCTTACAGCAAGCTCAAATATTTAGGAACTTCTAAGTCCTATATCCCTAAATTTCCAAATAATGGTTTTCCCTTTTTTTTTTTTTTCTGGTCTCAATTCTCCTCTGTAACCGTGATCCTCAATTGTACGACCACTGCATTCTTGCACAGCACAGCAAGTGCACAGCAGTTGAGCAATTCTTTAGAAGAAAGAAGGCCTGGAGCTGAGACTAATCACAAAAATATTAAAAAGCACCAGTGGTTTCAATCCAACCACTAATCTGACCACATGTTGAGACCACCAAATCCTGCTAAACAAGGTGTCTTCTCAGGAAAGAAATCTGGACTTTTAGTTTGGAATGAGAAGGACGTAAGTTCTATATAGAAACTGAAATGGCTGTTTGGGTCCAGACAACATCCCATTCAGCACGGGTTTCTACAGACAGCTTTTTGAAGACATTCTCTCTCAGCCTGAGAGCACTTATTATTATATATTACCAAGAAACTTCCAGATTCTCTGACTCCATCATTGTCATTCAGCATCTGACTTAAATACATTTATAGAAGTTTTTCACTCTTTGACGTTAATGCTTAGTGGTAACTACTCCATACTGGCTTTCAAGCATGATTTAACAGTATTGACACCCTGATCCAAATCAATTATTGATTTATTATAACTCATGCAAGAATTCATGAGTCACAAAACTCAAACACAACACAGTCAAGGCAAAATAAAGTCAAAGCATATCAAACCTGCAAGACTATTCTTTCCATATTTCCTCTCTTACTGGCCAGCCCTGATGCATGACTGGGAAGCGATGAGGTCCAGAGTTGCAAGAGCTTTGTTCCACGAGTCAAGAATCTAAACAGAGAGAAAGCAGGTACAGCGTATTCATGTCACAGGCTATTTACTTCAAGGTAATAGTTATCAAAATATTTTCTGGAGAAGACTAATGGTCCCTGCAAAGAAATAATTAACCTATATTAGCATGGTTTAGGAAGGTATTTTGAATGGAGTACCCATGTTTCTACTGCCCAGGCAAAGAATTATGCACATGACAGATGCTCTTACTAAAATAATACCAGATGTGTTCACTTCCCTAACATTTAAGACATTTTAAGTTTTGGTATTCAGAAAAGAACATAGGAAATGCATCATTAATTGGTCAACACAATGTTCCAACTTGAAAAAAAGGGTAACGTGATCATCAAGCCAATCAGTTTATTTCCTTTGATTCTCTTCCATGTTTTGAAGTTTTTAAATCGTGTGAACCCTACAGGCAACCTCTAAGCCAAAAAGCGGAAGGAAGTACAATGCAGAAACAGTTGACCCAGCTAAATAAACTGCTCCCTAATTCTTATGAAGCTTGGGTGGCAGGGCAGAAAAACCACTACGCATCTGAGAAATAAAACTGGACACATGCAGCTCCTTACTCTCAGTAATAAGGGCACATGCACGACTGTTTATTACAGACCTAACTACTGGCCTAGACTTTGCATATTTCTAGAATCTGCAATTTCAAAAATCAAATGATGCTAATATTTCAAGTTTGGTTTGAAATATTTCAAGTTTAGTTTCCAATAATGTGACATAACTGAAAATACTTTATAAATCATCTAACTGCTGTACTCATTAAGTGTGCAAGGCCCACCATAGACATATCTGCCAAAAACCAAAATACAGTCTCAGAAGACTGCCTGAAGGTCAAATCTTTATTGTGTTTTGAGAGATGGCTCAGGCCCTGTATTGTGGTTAATAAAACAATGAAGATTATGAAGCCATGCCACTGAAGCACAACTGAAAAGTTTGCTCTCTTTAATAATCCTCCAGTTTGAGTTACTTGCCACAGCCTTCTGTTTCCTCAACAAGAGCAACTGTTTTAAGTCCCTTCCCACCCCCATAAGCATTTTATCAGAAGGGCTTCCAGTCTGGCTTTAAATTCTTCCAAAGCACAAGAGTGACCTTTTAATCTTCCCACACTCTAGTTCACTAGTCTTCAGTTCCTGCTGGCTGTTGATGCTACTTGCAAGAGCAGTGGAATACTTGCCTATAACCTTTAACTATCTGGATTATAGTTAAAGTAGACAGCAGGTAAATTAGATACCAGCATCTCTACAACTGCCATGTATAAGTCACTCAGCAAATTCTAGCCCAACACATACTATTGCAGTGCTCTGCACTGATTGAAAATATAATTTTCTCCCCACACTTCTAACTGCTGAACAAACTTGTATGACGGACATATAAAACAAAATTTGTAATTCACATAAAAATAAAAACTAATTTTAATCACACCCTGTGAAATGTAATTGTAGACAGAGGGCTGAAAAGTCATTTACAAACACGTTTTTGATTCTCAATCAGCAGAGGACCTAAAGCAGCTGCAAGCCACTGTAATACTGCTTTACAATGCAGGAAAGCCTATACTGCTAAGTACCCCCAAGTTGTTCCCCATGCAAAAGGGAAAATTGGATCAGTCCTTGCAGTTTTAGTTAGAGATAGGGTCTGGTGCAGATCATTCAAGTGCCAAGCAGTTTAAGTATGTCAAATAGGTCCTGCTAAAAGTGAACAGATCTCTATTACTTGTATTTGAAACTCTAAAAGAGCTTTAAAATTTAAACAGGGCCCTGAGGCCCAAGGGAGTCCATTTTCCAATTACTCCTGGTAAACTAAAGACATGTCTCCAGAAGAAAACCATCCAGGTGGTAGGAATGGAAATGAGGTAATGATAAGCCTTTCCACTATTCTAATATTCTGATAGAGAACAGCTATCAAGGGATTCAGCGGGAACACAATTAACTAGTAAATTTAAATCAAATAGGCACTAATACACAAGAGATTTATAGAAGCTACATGTTTCAAGTGACAGATTTGTACTATAAAGTGTAGCCTTAAGATATTTCATCTAAGGCACTGGGCAGATTTATTATCACATCACAATAAATATGATAAGTAATAGTTCCTGGTAAGTTTAAATGCAACTATAATGGGAAGAAGAAATGGTGGATAAGGATTTTACAGCAATTTTCAGAGATCTGTCTGCAGAGCTATGTTATTAGATGTCTTCACCAATAACTTCAGGAAGCATATCATGTGATGGTAAACAAAGGCTAAACGCTGGATGGCTTCACAATTTGGACTCGAGCAGAAAATCTGAGCCAAACAGAGTCATACCTAGAATCAAATGACACAGCCAGGCAAAACCAACATAAGCAATACTAACTACCACCTCTCTAAGAAAGCCTAGGGGTCTTAGAGGACAGTAAAGCAGCATGTGCTCCCTGGAAGACCTCAAAGTCAGGAGAGCATATAATTAGGATAGCCCAAGCATAAATACAGAAGCCATTTATTCTGCATTGGGGTGATAATTTCTGCAGTATCATGCCCAATTTTGGTGTCACAGCTCAAGCATATACACTGAGGCTTTACAGAATAGCTACAAGAACAGTTAGTATTCTGGCAGATAGTTTTTCAGACAGCTTTTTGGAAACCTCACAATTCAGCACAGTTCTATACCTAATTTAGCTCAAGACACGTTCTCTATAACAACATCATTTAAGAGTCTTAGCTTTGTTATGCCCCATTACATTCAGGGTCATTGAAACAGCTGCTCTAGTTATGGGTGTGGAATAAGTTTTATACAGTGAATCACCATAATTTGAATCATATTTTGGACACTTACCGTCTAAAATCAAAAAGAGGTAGAGAAACCTGACCCAAAATTTCTGGACCCCTTCTCTGTTTATTTGAGTCAGGAGAACTTCCACTACTTTGATTTAGGATTCCATACAACGTCAAACATAAGACTGATTCCAATGGCAGTTGTGAAATCTGGATGGGGAAAATTATTCTATAAAATAAAAGCATTAAAATGTCAGCCACGGAGGAAAAACAATTACTAACAAGTTATAAATTCATTGTTAATACAGTTTGTTGATGATTTTTGTTTTCAAAAAGCCAATCAACAATGCAGGACAAAGTTTAATTTTCATGCAATTATATTTCAGTTCACTATCTCCCACCACCAGTTCATAAATACTACTGGATTACAGTTTTGCACTGTAGTTAGATTTGGAACGGCCCCTTTTAATAGGTAAAGAATATTTTTCTATTAAATCACATTTCTTACAAAGAGCTGGAGAGTCCAGCACAACCAGTCTTCCCGCTCCACTCTCTACCATGGACTCACTCAATTCCATGTTAGCTGCGTCCTCACCTCTCAGATTTAAATCATCACCTCTCAGCTAACAATCGATTCCCATCCTAACAAAACAAGCTCTTAACAACAACTGAAAGCTGAGTTCCTGAAATGTCACAAATCCTGTACCCATGAAGAAACCAGCTGAGGAATATACACCACACCAAACAATTCAAGCTCAGGTTTTTGTTTACATTTTTGGTTTTATTTGTTAGCAAAGTACTCTTTTCATTTGGCTTTTTCTATAATGACTGTTTTACATACCAAAACTGTTCATTATTAATTTCTGTACAAGTCAGTTGCATTATCTCCCCATCTAAATAATCTGACCATCATATAAGAGCAGCTTTATTCATCCTTCTTTAGAGGTGCCAAGCTGCATTCATAAGGTAGTTCAGTAGGTGCTATATATGAATGTAATTTAGTGTTTTTTACGATTAAGACACTTACAGTTCATCCCATTTAATCAGGTAGAAGAAGCTTTTGTATGTGCCAACCTTCTTGGACTGAACAGGCTTGAACAGATCTCTTCCATTATGGGTCAGAGAACAAATCAAGTAATATTTTTCATAACTGGACAAGAAAAGAAAGAGAAGTAAACAACAAATAAATCTATAAAAGGATGAAATTTTTTACAGCTGATAAACTACTCACTTTGATACCCAAGCAGAAAATATTCCATGTGCGGCAAATATTGTGAACTGGAGATGTTCTGTGGAAGTCCACGCTTCCTTGGTGTCCCTACTATCTTTTGAAGAAACTACTGCAGA